AAAAAAATCAAGATGTTATCATTTTCTCAAGCCGAGATATATGCAAAACAAAGATGTCTTGCAAACATTTTTATTATGCTCAATACGGTGGGACATAGCGCCACCATGTAGGTTGTTCGTATTAAGTATCGGAAAACCATCAGAACCAGTTAATAGAGATTTCTTTATACAGTTTTTGTAGAGCTTTTCACGGTGGATCTTTTAAGAAAACCATCAAGATTTTATCATTTTCTCAAATCGAGATAAATGCAAAATACAAAATGTTGCAAAACTTTTGGAACATCCGGTATTTGTTTATCATGAATATGTATTATCATAGTTTTATCATTGTCTATTTTTGAGATGTTTCACATCATTCGTCACTATACAGTATTCACATGTATATATATACTTTAAACTACTATATCATAAGAAGTTGATGTTATCTATGTGCTGTACTAACGATGTTTCCTACCTTTGTTTTTGCCTATAGATATTTATATAGGGTTCGAATAAAAATTCTAAAAAAATTTGAGTTCCTATTGAGATTTTTTATGGAAGTTAGTTTAGTTGAATTCTTTGTATGTGCAAAGTTTCGAATAGAAAATTAGTTTTATGAAAATCTAGAACCTCTAGAAAATAGACATCGATAGTTTAGTCAAGGTTTAATAAAAATTCAATCCTTTTTAGGGATTTTATTAGAAAACTATGTGGTATCTATAGGCGAAAAAACAATGAATATCTAACAAAGTTCTCTCGTAAGTGTCTCCGACGCGTACCTAATAAGATATTATTTGATTATATATGAATGCATAATATAACAATGAGTCTCATGAGGATTCGGACGACTTTCACGTACTTAACAAGCGTTCATATGTACTTCATGTTGGTCTACTCACATAAATAATAGCTGGGTGTAACTGACAGATGTTATCAGCATATTCCCTACTAGTCTTCATTAGAGTATATCTAAAAGATGAAAAATTTCATATAATATTGTAGTGGAATGAAATTAATTAGAGTCCACACGAACTCTAGGTGGTCTTGTCATGATTATTTAATCCTCATCTTGGTTTTTGTGAAACACAATCTAAAAGAAATATTGAATTATGAGAATAAAATATATGTCTTATATAAATCGAAATGAACTGTCAATAATTTAGTTTTTAACTCAATACTTTGATTTTCTAATTTCGACTTTAAATAACGACAACTTTTAATAAACTGTAAAAATTTCAGGCCTTTTGATTTGCCTCTATCCTGAAATAAGAACATCGAATATGTCAGTTTATTTGAAACATGTAAAACATACATGCTATTACTATCATTGTGTTTTAGGATCAAATTGAAATTCAAAAATCAGTTTTCTTGAGAGAGACCACAACATATACTGTATTGCTGCAGTATCATCGCAGTAAAAAAAACTAGCGAAATAACCTTTTTTTAATAGTATTCTTAGCTCATTTCCATCTACATAAAGCGCATAGTCTCAATTCAAAAGTGATTTATCAGTTGGAGAACTTCCTTCATTAGCAATAATCCGCTTCCTGTGCATCAAAGATCGTGTGATACACGCTATAATAGATGATTATAGATATAACGTCTTGTTCTAATATATAAACCCTTTTCTAATTAAATTTCTGAAGAATTTCACATTTTAATCCTGTAGAAATTATGCTAATAGTTATTTTTTTCTTTAAAGATATTTTTAGAAAAATTCTATAATTATTTTTATCAACTAAATCAAAATCATAATTGTAAAACCTATATAAAATTAATTAAACGTATATTACCATGGGGATTTATTAGTATTCATAAATGGTTTAAAAATTGTTTACTTTCTACAACTAATAAAATACAAACAATATCTTATGAATTTAATTCAAATTTACCATTAACATTTCTTTGGTATATAACTAATTGGTTAGTTTCTAATAAAGTTTTTCTTAATGAATATGATCCAATAAATATATATGAAAAAATTTCTCGTCAAGAATTTATAACAAATCTGTATGATTCAGATAAACATGGATATTCAATTGTTACACTATGTGAATTAACATATTATATTGATGGACCATTTCTTATTATGTTTTATTGTAATGATGAAAGAATTTTTGCTATTTTATTAGAAGGAAAACTTATGGATTCAGCTAAATCATGTAGGTCGACAATTTTAATTATAAGAATAAAACTTTATTCCCTAGATTTGAGTGTAAATATTTTTATGCTTTCAATTCATCACCAGCCCCGATGACCTTACTATACACTTCTCATTCAATCCGAGTCTAAATATTTATTAATTGAGTTTCTGTCAATAAATTTTTGAAATAAAAGACTAAAGTAGAATAATTTTCATTGGACCTAATGCGTTCTAAAAGACATTCGATATTAGTCTAAATTTCTCTATTCCGTATCCCATTCCAAAGTGATATTCGATATGCAACAACCAATTACAATATGATATTTGATATCAGAATTTTTTAGTATAACTAACAGTTGTTATTTGATCTTAACATGATATACGATAATGTGTAGTAACGATAGAAATAGAAAATTAAACAGTTTGAATATTATTGATTACTTCTACAGAATTTCAAAAAGATTATTATACGAAATAAGATCGCATAGTTTACGTGACAATTGTCAATAGTAAATCTAGAATTTACGTTAGTTTAATTTAATAATTCATCGAGACGAAATAATAATAAAAAGAAAAATCACATACGCGAAAACAAAATAGAAAAATATTACTCTAGACATTTTATATTTTTAATTTATTTTTCTTAGATGGTGGTCGATCATCTCTTTGTTTTCAATTATCTCCTCAATTTATTATACTTGAACGTGGTCCATCAATGCTCTATTGGAATATTAAAAATCGTTCTGATGGTCCATTAGGTATTCGTATAGGACATAATGGTATAATACGAATATCAATCGATCTTAATATGGAATATATTCATCATCCGGAAGGTTCTAGTTCAATAAATCGAATAGAAATATATAAATTTGGTTTATATAAAACACCTACAGTAACTTCTACTAATCAACGTCAATCATTAGTTAATAAACAACACAATGAATATAATGTATTCAGTGTTGATGCTCATAAACTAGCGGAATCAATTGGTATACATTTGTTTACGTAGTAAGAAAAACAAGATGAAAATAAGAAAAAAAAAAATTTTATTTCGACATGAAAAAAATATATATATGATCACAAAAAAGAAATACCAAGGAATAAAAATACAAAAATCAAATATCACAAATATTTGTTTGATTACTTTTCTTCTTTTTTTTGTTTTTGTTTTCTTTTTGCATTTATATTTATTTAATTATCCATTTGTTTCACTGTTAGCATTGCAGCATTTATACGAAATTGAAGACGAGATTCAAGTTGATAACCTTTATAATCATTTCTATAGTCGACAAATAATATAATATTATTTATTTAAAAAAAAAAAAGCAAATATAAACTTACAATGATTTATGTAAATATTCAATTGCCTTTTGTTTTTGTTTTAAATTAAGATAAATCAATCCTTTTTCTAATAAAGCATTTGGTGCTAAAAAAGATTTTGTATCAAATTGTTTTGCTCTAAAAAATGAATAAAAAAAAGAAAAATTTTTTTTTTTTTTAACAAATATTTCATTAAAAAAAAACTAACAAATGAATTATTTCGTCAAATGCTTCATGTGCTTCATCGTATCGACGAAGAAAATGAAGAAGAACACCACGAAGTAATAATCCAGAACCATAACTATCTACATAGAATCGATCATCTATGAAACAAAAACCAGAGGATATTATTATTAAGAAAAAAATAATAATAATCAAATAGTTTTACTTAGATGATGAATTACTAAATCATTTAAAGCATTATTGACAATATCAAGTGTTACATTTAATCTCTTTGAATCATGTGCAAGAATATAGAAACCATTCATAAGATAGAGTAATTCCTACAAGAAGATTAATAATCGTTCATTTTTCAATTTTCATTAAATTCATATAAAAACCTTCACAGAAACTTTTTTTTCTTCCGAGAAATAGAAACAAAAAAATTTGTAAATATTTTCCTTTATTATTCATAGAAATCTATCTAAATTTATTTGAAAATATTTAAAATAGATATCGCTAGTTACCAATCCTGGTAAAAATAACCAATTTTGAACAAGAAAATGTTCACATTGTTTAATTGCATATTTTTCTAATGGTATAGATTTTCCTGCAAGACGAATTTTTAATTCAGGTACTCGTCTAGAATAAAGAATTCATATTATAATCATTTAATATAGGAAAAAATAAATAAAATCAAAAATTCTAACTTATATAATCTGACAACTTCATCTGTTGCTATTCCATTATTTTCTTCGAAATTAAATGTTGATAATAAATAACAATAAGTTGCTTTACTCCAATTATTTTGATCTAAAAGTGTTTGAGCCATAACCGATGCTTCTTTCCATTGTCGTTGAATTCTTTTTTAGTAATAAATAAAATCAGTATAGTTTTATATTATATAAAAAAAAAACAAAAGGATATATATATATATATATCCTAATACTTACACACGACACCATAGTAATTCCCAATATGCAAGCTATGAATATATGTATATTATTTTTGCTATATTAAAATTTTCATTTAAAAAATTCTTACATGATGAAAATCTTTCCAATCAGTTTGACAATACATTGCATATTCATATGTATTAATTCCCTTAATGAAAAGAAAATAATTATTCTTGTTGTTTTTTTCTTTTCAATAAATTAAATTACTTCATCAATTCGACAATTAATTGTTTGAAGTCTTGCTCGAAATAAAAGAAAAAAGTAGGACTAAAAAATAAGAAAAAAAAAAAAAATCTTCTATCATTTTTCCATTGAAATTTGAGATTGACTTTACTTTTTAGCTTTCATATGTAACATCGAATAAAGAAAAAAAAAATCAAGGCAAATCATACATCTATAAATGTGATATACATAAGCAAAATTTTAGATCCCATCTCAAACAATTGTCATTCATTAAAGTGTACGATACCACCCGCGAGGTTTCTCAAATTTCGTAACTTGACAAAAACAATTTGAGTTTTTTATCTCACACAAAAAAAAAATGCTCAATAGCATCAAAATATAACCATATATAGCCTTCAATCAACATATATATATATATTTATAATATATATACAATAATTCTCAATGCTCTTTTCCTCAAAATATCATTGTAGCAATCGGATATGAGTGTGGATTGAAATATGATATGACTTCACCCTCTCTCTGCCTCTAACCAAAGTTAATGAAGATGCTCCCTTTTCTTTTTTTTCTTTTTTCTCTATTCAAAAACAGAAGGGGTAAAGGAAATGTTCATCTATCTCTTTCTCTCTCTGTCTCGTGTTCTTTTTCTTACATATACATACGAAATCGATCTGTGATTCCTTTGATAAAGTGTAAAAAATCAAAGGTAATCCGAGTATAATTCAATATAGAAAGCATATAGAGAATAAAAAGAAAAAAAAGAAAAATAATAATAACCATCAATAGCAGTCTAATCTAAGAATACGATGACCAATAACCACTACTGCTGGACTTCATCGAATAGAGATGAATATAAAGAGTAATTTGATAGGACGACATAGCGAACGTGAGGAAGAAATCAGATATCGACACCAACGCTGCTGAAATCTAATTCCATTCTGATCTCTCTTTCTCTCTCTCTCTCTTCTCTTTTTTCTCTTGTCTCATTTATGTTACTGCTGCTTGACAGATAGACAACGACGAGGAAAAAAAATCAAATTGTTTCAACCATGAAAACAAATGTACAAGTCAAAGATGAACCTGTTGAATTACAAGTTAATGAATTACTTCGTTTATACGGTTATAATTTAACAAATCAATCATCAATAAAAAGTTCTCGAACGAAACCAAGTGTTAATCAAGAACAAGAACGTAGATAAAATCTTTAAAAAAAAAAAATTATTTTCATTATAATAATCCAGTTTTGTTTTTGTGTTCTTATAGCATCAACATGTGCTTGGTGTCAAAAATTAGGTATACGTTCATTTACATTACGTACTGATAATGATGATTCAAAAACATTATGCAGTGAAGTATGTTTTAATCAATATCGTCGTGCATCATTTAAAAAGAATAAAGTTAGAATAAAGAAAATTTAATAAAAAAAAAACAAATGAAAGCATTCATTTATTTTCTAGGGTTCTGAAACTGATGTTGATCATAATACATTACCAATTATATCAACAATCAAAAATAAAGTAGAATTCAATAATAATAAAGTGACGGTAATTCAAAATTCAAGCAAATTCTTTTTTTGTCATGGTTGAATAAATTATGTTCAAAAAAAACAAAACCTCGAAAAAGCCTATAAAAAGTGCACTATACTAAAAGAATTAAGTCTCGATAGCTTCAATATTTATCTGAATTGCATTTTTGTTTTTCATTTAATTCATCATACAGTTAGCAAAACAAAAAAAAAATACTATGCATGATTTTTGAAGAATAGTATTTGATTGTTGAGAAAATAGCAAAACATCATAAGAATAAATTCATATTCAGAGATTTTCATCGTTCAAACTTCAATTCAAAAAAAATGTAGATGATATTCAGAATTAGCACAACAATTTACATCGAATAGTAAACGCAATACTCCAAACCAATTTTCATCAAATTTCGACCTTAGGAGAAGAATAGGTCAGAGTATTCGAAAATAACAATGAGAAGGTGTATAAGGACAAAAATTTGATGAAAATTAGTTTTAACTATTGGGTATACATTTCGAACTGATTTTTTGATAGTGAAAATCTCTAAATATGAATTCATTTTTTAGAGTGTGTTGAGCGTATTTCAATTTTTTGTAAACTTTTCTAATCTTTTTTTTAACCTAATTTATTCAATCATGACAAAAAAAAAGTTTTTTTTTTTTTTTTATATGTTAAATATTTTAGTCTCCTGAAAAGAAAAATGGAACTAATAAATATGAACATCAAATAAATGAAACAAATAGACGAAAATTAATATTACCACTTCGTCGTCCAACACCAACAATAACAAAAACAAAACCTAATGGTATTACTCGAAAATTCTCATCATCTCCATCATCAAAACGACTTCGATCATCTTCCTCATCATCATCATCAACTCCTCCTTCAAATGGAATAGTTCATTCTATTGATCAAACAACATCATTAGTTTCTTCTAATCTACCTGTTAGTCTCACTTGGCAACCTTCACTTGTTTTACCATCGAATATTCCTTGGCCACCTCCAGTAGATATCAATCGTTTTCAATATCCATTTTTTGTTCCTCCTCCTCCTCAGCCTCAGCCTCCTCCTCATCCACTTGTACCACCTCCACTACCAGCACTACTACCATTACCATCATCAACAATATCTAATACATCATCTGATACTTCATCATCATCATCATCAAATTTATTTACAACATTAACAAAAGGAACATTATCAAATTTCACTTGTATTCTACCAACATTTATCCCATTACCTATTCCAATACCAATTCCACTTTGTTTTCCTATTCAAGTACCTCATACAAAATGTTCAATTGAAGTCACTAATCAACAATGTCAAACATTAATGGAAGATAATGTTCATCGAAAACTAACACGAAGACTATCTATTTAATGTTAAATAAATATTCTAGCATTATTCTAATATGCTTTTTTTTTTGTTTTGTCTTCTTGTTAATACATCTATGAAATGTCATACTTACATTAGGATATATTCTTAGATAACTTTCGACTAACATATGACAAGTTTCAAAATCACCATCAGCATTACCTGAAAAGAAAAAGATAATTTATTCTTTTTGGGTTGTTGTCTTAATTTAATCAAAAACAATTTACCAAATAGTTGTGTAACAAATGTATGATAACTAAGAATAAGTAAAGCTGAAAATAATGCACGTAATCCATTGCTAGTTGCACTTTTCTTTAATTCATTAAGACCAAATTCCTAGAGTAAGATTTTTTTATTTTTATTTTATATAATAATAATAGAAAGAAATATAAATTTACTCTATTGCCTGAAAAACCAGCAAATTCAAGATATCTGATTATACGTTGTGGTAGATTTGAAATCATCTAAATATTTATATAATTAAAAGTATTATATTATAATAAAATAATGTGTTTGGTTTTTTTTTTTTTTTTTCATATACCAAATTAAATGCACCAGTACCAAATCGAATTCCACTCTCGAAATGTTCATGAGATAAACTTGAAGAAAATTTCGAAGGATCATTGTGTTTTGATAGTTTTCTATTAAATAGATTATAAGAAAAAAAATATTTATCTGAAAATAATTTGTAAGACATACAAAAATATATCATGACATTCTTTTATTTTTAATGCACCACTGATAAAACTAAATAAACTTTGATCTTGAATAAATGTTAGCAATGCTCGAATCAATAATGCTTCAGCATAGACTAATTTAGCATGTAGTTCATCTAAAGTAAATTTTATTTTTCTAATTATTTAAGATTTTAAATAAATTTTACATTCAGTCATGACTGGTTTAGCTGAAAGACTAAAGGGTATCCATGGTCGATATGGTTCATATGTCTTAGTCATATTACTTGTATGACGTAATGCTTGAATTGCTGTTTCAATGTCATTCTAATTTTAAAATATAAAATTTTAATAAGAGCTGACAATCATTTTTCTTACGTGATTAAATGTCATTGCTGCATGCAAATAACTTATTATACTATGGCATAGACCGTGATAAAAAGACCGACTTTCTCTAATAAAAAAAGTATGCGTGGTACAAGCTATGCTATCTATACTATGACATACTGTGCTTTAGTTCTTTTAAGTGCTTCATTGAGATGGTTTCCAAAGAAAAGTCTAGTAATTTCTTGACATTCGTTAAACATTTGATATAAATCAATTGCTGGTGTTTCATATTGTTTTAATGATGATCGTCTTTAATGATTTAAATAAATAAATAAAAATTATTTTATTAAGATCTATGTTATTAAACAAACCTATGAGAATTATTTTCGTTATGATCATCGTCAAAACATTCTACGGCATCTTCAAAAACCTAAAATAAATTCTCTCGATTTTTGTTTTTATTATCGAATGTCAATATCTTTGGAGAAAGAACAGAATTTTTTCTTTTCTTTCTTCTTTACCAAGGTGACAATAACATTTATTTTTATTTTTTTCACGTACAAACTTTTAAAATCTGGAAGCTTGGAAAGAATGATTTTTTTTTCTCTTGCTGTAGACATAATATTTAAGCAAAAAGAAGCCTATGAAAACTTTTTAAGCAAATGTTTTTTTACAAAAATAAATTTAGAAAAAGAAAAAAAGAAATGATTATGAAAAAATATTACCTCACTAATTGCATCTTCATCTCGATAAGATTGGGGAAAATTACGTAATGATTGTGTTGTTGATAATTCTGAATTTGATGAAAATCTATTATGAGAATTCGCAGAATTAAGTGATAAATGATGTGTATTTTGATCCGATGTTGCTGATATATGATTAGCAGAATTCGAATGAATTACGCCGGTTGGAACTTTCAATGGATGTGTACCATAAAAAAAATAGCTATTAGTGAGTTTACTTGTTGTAGACGCAGTATTTGATGATGATCTCGAATCCATAATATCAATAGAAAGATCAATTCATCTGAAAGTATGAAAGTATTAAAATCACTATATCTTCCATTTTTCAACATACTTTTATCGCAAAATTATTGTGCTTTTTTATTTTTTTTTCTCTTGTTTTGTCGTTCTCTCTCTGTATTCATATAAAATAAAATGTCCTCAAATGCCGAGAACCTTTTTTTTTCCTTATGATAGTCGCAGAAAAAAAAAATCTTCTAGGTGATTGATTATTATATATGTATATATGCTTCATACTTATCGTTATAATGTGGCTTATTTTTGAATCAATAAACTATGTCTCCAAGAAACGCCTCAGTTTATTATAATTCTATGTGTTCTTATCTCATTCTCTGTCACACATGTTTGTTTTCTGGATATGAAAAAAAAAAAGAAAAAAAGCAGGAAGTAAGAAAA